GGATGGATGGATGGATGGATGGATGGATGGATGGATGGATGGATGGATGGATGGATGGATGGATGGATAGCAGACAGAAAGACAGATGACACAGAGAGAGACAGAGACAGAGATACAGAGAAAGACATAGAGAAAGAGAGAGATGAGACATAGATAGATAATAATAACACTTAAGACTTATATACCGCTTTACAGTGCTTTTACAGCCCTCTCTAAGCAGTTTACAGAGTCACCCTTTTGCCCCCAACAATCTGGGTCCTCATTTTACCCACCTCAGAAGGATGGAAGGCTGAGTCAACCTTGAGCCCTGTCAGGATTGAACTGCCGGCAGTTGGCAGACTTAGCCTGTAATGCTGCATTCTAATTACTGCACAGGAAGGAAGGAAAGGAGGGAGGGAAGGAAGGGAAGAAAGGAAGGAAAGAAGGAAGGAAGGAAGGAGAAAAGCAATAGCCCGTAGACTTATATACCGCTTCACAGTGCTTTACAGCCCTCTCTAAGCGGTTTACAGAATCCTTTCATGGAAACAAAAATCAGACTGCTTACCATGTTCAGATCCGTCTGCCAGATAATCATCTTCATTTTTTCTCCTTGCCGTCCGTCCACAATCCCTTCGACAATCATTTCGATCAAGCAAGGCACGTATTTGTCAAACAATCTGTCCAACAGTTGTTTCTCTTGCTGGAAAAAAATAAAAGTGATTCTAAATTAGAACACGTGTCCTCCCCATTCGTCTCCTTCCGCCTCTCGGGAGCATCAGCCCGGACACTGATTTGGGAGAACATCACAAAAGACCACAACTCTTGAACCAACCAACAAAGCTCGAGCTGGCATCTCGATAAGATCTGGGACAAATTAAAATCTAACATGTACTATATTTCCCCCCTCCCCCCTAAGACCCCACCTCCCTTCCCTCCCCCCGACTTCCCAGAGCCCGTACACGGTATAGCACTTGTATACACTTGTATGTGTATTGCACTTGTATACTGTTGCTCTTTAATTCTAGTGTTAAAATAAGACAAGCTGAATATATTGATAGATAGCAGAGATACACCGAAGGGAGGAGTAGAGGGATAGAAGGAAGAGGGGTAGAGAGGGTGAGAGAGAGGATGGGAGGGAGGGGGGAGAAGGAAGGGAGGGAGTGTAAGAACCAAGGTGGCGCAGTGGTTAGGGTGCAGTACTGCAGGCCACTGCAGCTGACTGTTATCTGCAGTTCAGCTGTTCAAATCTCACC